GCAAGCGTTGCTCGTTAGTAAGTCTATTCATGATGAAATGTCAAAGCATACTGAGCATCTTTCTCTTTGACACCATGTCTGAAATCCCACGTGATCTGTCAAATACTAATGCATGAAAATCCTAACCTCAAAAAAATCACCCGTTATATGCGTCGTAGTTATTTAGTAGGATTCGGGAAAGTGCAATTTACATCTACGCAATGTCCAGGCACATACAAACGAATTGGGCGGAAATAAAAAAGTTTCAAACAAATTATAAATAACAACTTTAAGTAAAATAAAACGCAGATATCTGTGGAAATTACATATTATACGCAAGTAATAATAGAATATTAATATATAAGGCATTCAAAAATACATACATATATGTTCCTATAAAGTGATCACTTTAAAAAGTGTACATATGTATTTACGTATAATAATAAATTGGTCTAAAATAATATTTCTATTATAAGAGGATATAATATTTTTTCTCAAAAAATTACTGATGTGCTACATAGTACATACATATACATATGTAATTTTTATAAATTTAGTTCTCAAATTTTTTAAACAGACCTGGCTTTGATCGAGACGACTTTCCCGCCAACTGGCATATTTTCCTTAACATAAATCGGCCCATACACCGTATTGTCCCATACGGGCGGGTTATTGGCGCGATCGACCACATCGATTTGCACCTCGACGGTACGCGACAGCGGCGGATAGCCTTTGTCCTGCGCCATTGCTTCTAATTTATATGTTTCGCGCTGTATGATGCACACATACATACACATTATGGTTATAGATATGCATATAAATTCGTTTAGGAGCATTTTAGATGCGCCGTTTCAAATCGTTCAATCAAAAATATTTAGCATTCATTATCGGTATTTGGTTTTGTTTTTTGATTAATGAAGCGTCGCAAAAATGTTGTTTCGGTTTGTAACGATTTGTTTATGTGAAATTATAAAAAAGAAGGCAAAAAACAAAAATTATATATATTTTTGCATATACGTAGTTTTGAACTTTGATAATTTGCTGAGTTATAATTAGTTGGTAAATGCTTAAAAATGTAAACCATTAACCAAAATGAATCAAAAGCACCAACGACTAAACGAAAAAAGAGTTACCCAAAATTGTTGTTAATTGATTCAAATAAAAAAGCTTAGACAACGTTGACTTTTCGTTGAGATGCACTTTCTTTTACACACATATATACATAGATAAATACATATATATATATGTGTATATATATATATACTATGTATATATATATACTATTTATATATATATATACTATTTATATATATATATATACTATGTATACATATACTATGTATATATATATACTATGTATTATGCGTGTATCTTTCTCATTTAAAACTAATGCTAAATATCAAAAATCAATTAATTAAAAATAAAATTTAGGTACCAAAAAGTTGCCTTTTAAAATGAAAATACGCAAAAAATCACATACATTGTGAACAGCAAAAAAATTATTTCGATTAATATTTTTCTTCTCTTTTAGGCAGTGCAAATAATTTTCTTAGTTTATTTATAGCAAACAAGTTACGTAGTTTTTGTCTCGATCCTAGCCCTTAAAGTTGAGTATTATAAAATCATAGATATACATTTGTTTTATTATAAGATAGAATGAAAAATTAAAATAAACGGCATAATAGCGATAAATTTGTTTTAAAATATTTTAATATGCAAGTCAAATTTCTTGTTTAACTTTTTGACAACTCTAAGCGACTCAACCAAAAAGTTGGTCTCGTAACCACGAATATCAATCAAAAACAAATCTTCTATGCAATGTTTCAATTTTCGATTAAAATAGTTGGTCCGATAAGATGATCTTATGCCACGCTTAACTCACTACAGCCATTTATATGGAATAGGCATTAAAAACTATTAAAATCAAAGGAGCCGAAATTTTTACATTTTTTCTTAGCGTTCGTATAAAAAAAAAGCACGTGGCAAAGGAAAAGCTATAAATCCAACCGAAATAAAAAATGATGTCAAGCTTTATTATTTTCCACTTTATGCTCTACCCAGAATTGCATCGGGCGACGGTAAAGTGGTCGGTGGTTAACCGCTGTCAAAATTAAAACTCACAAATGCATATGGAATGGCTCATATTTGCGGCGGCAACGTTTTTACCGCCGACGTTTTCCCGTTAATTTAAATTTATTTCTATTTTTATTGCCCACAGGGGACGGCACAATATTTATTGGGTGTTGATTGTAGTAATTTTTATTATTTTCACAAGTTTGGCAATGTTTTCATCCTTTAATATTTTCAGCTAATCTGCATTTCTACACGCATGTACCGAAAAAATATTTAATTTTAATGATAATTTTCAAATCAAAATTACAACTAACGGAAGTCGTCGTGCGCCGCAATTGTAGCTCTGATCCAGTACTGCATAAACGCACAGGTTTTTACATGAACTTCGTAGGAAGTTACAGGATATTTAATCCTGTACTCCAAAATCCTGCAAATGAGAACGATTTTTGGAGAGTTGTGAAGAGAACGACATGATTTCTTTGAACGCGGCGGTGACATCATGAACTTTGTATGATTTTGACATAAAAAAAGAGGAAGAACCTTATCTGTCGGTGGAAAAATAGAAATAGATCTAATCTGGCCACAACCACCGTTGTCGCGTAGCCCTGTCGTCGGCAAAATAATTATCTACATAAGAGTACGTGTTAAAATAATTCAACGGCTGTGGTCCGTAGCTCGTCGTTTTCATTGTGTTCGGGCTATCACTTTTTACTCTCAATTCAGAGAGTAATTTTACTGTTTGACATTTTTACAGGATTTTACACGAAAAGTATTGGATCAGAGCTTGTGTTTACTCTCACCGTCGTCCGATGTAATTCTGGGTTGAGCTTTAAATTACCGACTTCAAAAAAAAGAAAGAGGAGGTTATCATTTCGTCGGAATATTTTGTTTTTATGTAACATACATGAAACCGGGTAACTTTAGAATACAGAAACCGTTTACGATCATTATTTTTTATAGTAAAGGTGACACTCTAAGTTCCGAGCAATGGATCATGAAGAAGCTAGCGGTACTTTTAAATTTATATAAGAGCGTTGAAGTCGGTTGTGGTTTTCTTTTTTAGAAATTACTTTTTTTTAATACAAATTAGTTGTATTTTATGACCTCGACAAACTTTATGAGTGTCTTGAAATACAAGCCAAATACTACAAGGTATGTAGTTATTATTCTAATAACAATACCATCTCAATATTTTCTGGTATTAAATGAAACAAAGCTCACATTTTTCGAAACGAAAGCAAAATGATTTCCAACATTGTTATTTTGTTTCAAAAACTGGAAACAAAGTACATAAAATTTAGTTCTTCATAAACAAATGTTTGAATATGCAGAAAATTTTAGATATTTATATGAGCACATCCAAACGCTGACATTCGAAATCTTGTGCGTCTTTTTATGAAATGAGTGCAGTACATATGAAGGTATTTTAACCTGATGGTGCCGATATGTCTTATAGCCCATTTCCCCCGGGAGATTAACTGCAGTTATGAGCTCAGGTAGGTGCAAATAACGTTAACTTGGGGTGATTAGCAAAGTTTATTTCTTACTTTTTGCTTTCAATTGCTTGACCTTAATATGGGCAACTACCCCTTTCGAGTTGTAATCTCCTTTTTTCAGTAGGCATAAACTGCGGTTAAGGCTTGGTGGAAATGAACTATTAAACTAATAAAAATAATAGGAATGAAATCTAGTAAACAAAATACAATAATAACTTTACGATGGTATTGTTACAGGTATAATATACTTCAACTTTTGATTTTTTACGTGTCTTGCATCTCCATTGACAAGCGTTTACGTAAAACATAAAAACCAATGACACCAAACACAAAATAAAAATATATGTATATTTTCTTTGAATAGATTATTGTCTTCAATTTAAATAAGCGTGTGCAGTTATAGGTAAAATATTGCATATGTATGTAAATATTTACTTAAAGTTTATTCGGTTTTAGCATTTAAAATGCATGTAGAGCTTATACAAATCAAAGCATTCAATGCAAATGTTTTTTAACATTTTTTCAAGTTAGCACAAGAGAGAAATCAATTACCTGATGCCTGGTTAGTACAGTCAAATGTAACATATTATGTGAATACATACATATGTACTTCCTCAGTAAAATCTAAACATTCATATATTTCTTGTTTATATATTTAGTCCCGACTAATAGCGCTAAACTCCACCTATGTAAGTATGTAAGCAACCTTTGTTATGAGGGCTTTATCTCAGCGAACTGATACTTTTCGAAGAAAAATAAAACAATTGCTTAGATGTATGTAATATTTTTGTAGACAGCTAGGCTATTTTTTGTGTACAATGTAAATTTTTGTGTAAGCAGAATTGATAAGGTGACCGCACCATATCTAGGCGATGGCTACGGGGCGGAAAATATTTTCGCTTGTTTTTAATTTTTTATTGTGTTAAAGGAAATGAAGGAATCACGTATCTAAGGCGGTAAGTTTTCTTTGGAGTCAGGAATCAACGTTGATAGCAAGGAGAGTTAATTTGCAACGGTAATTTTCTCTTTTTGTTTCTTTTTTTTAGTTTTGTGTAGGCTGCTTCAAAATTCAAAACTTATTGTGAACGTACTGCGATGTTGGTGAAACCTGGTAGCAAGGACACCGATGCCAGAATGAAAAAGACATTACACCACATTTACCACCAAATCAGCATTGCAGTTGTAAATTGGTGTGTTGGCTTCATATTCAACATACGGCCTGGCTCCAGCAAAAATGTCCCTGCTTTGGGACTTCTCCACAAAAATACCTCTACGTTCACACAAAAGCTGCCATTAGTAGCTTGCAAATATCGGTTAACATTGTATTAGAAAATTTTACATTATGTTAAAGTTAGGACTACCAAAAAGTTAGTATCTATGAAATGGAGATTTATCTTTTATATTTGTATGTATGCATATTATAAGTATGAAAGAAAGTTCAACAAGCTTTAGTTACAAAGTGGTTATGTTTAAAATACAGGTAAGAATTACAAGAGACATATACATACATCTGTATGCATGTAGCTTGTCGATGCTTGTGAACAACAGAGCAGGAGTAGATACAAACCTTGCCTTCACCGATGTTACAACCGTACCCACAGTGACATTTTCGCGTATATGTATTGGCCCATAAATGCTCTTATCCCATATTGGCGGCTTGTTATTGCGGTCAACTACGTCTAACTCAACATCGACATCGGCATAGGATGGTGGCTCACCACGATCCGAGGCGCGCACCCGCAAACGATAGCGGTCGCGCTGTTTTAGTGTGTGAGTGTTTTTTTTTATTTGTTGTTTTACAGATTTTACGATATGTAAGCGTTACGTAACAGTATCATGTTAAAAAGTTGTAGGTGCGTAAAAAGAAAAAATTTTTATTATGATTACATTAGCGAAAATGTTAAAATTGTTTAACAGTTTAAAGTAATTATTTCGAGGGTTGCTTTAGTTAGCGGTTAACATTTTAATTTCAGATCCGAATGCTTTTAATAAGGTTAACAGAGTGTTATCAAAATTTCGATGCGGCATAGCATATTGAATATCATTAACAGATAATTTGCAAGCTTTCTTTAAAAAGTTCTCGTTAGATAGGTTTGTGTCTTCGCTAGTTTAATGTTTTGTTAAATTAATGTTACCGCTCTGCTGCAATATACCTTATATACGGCACGGATGGTACTGCTTAATAAAAATTTTGGGTATACTAAAGGCTGGTGGATATTATAATCGTGTTAATATGTATGTGTTTCAAACAGTCCATAATAGTAGTAGTCAATAGGTTAACATTTTTACGGCAATAAAAATAGTTAGCAATAAAAATGTATAAAATAAAAACAAAAACAAAAAAATATCGTAAACTCAGAAATTCATAACACAAACATAGCATTATACATATAACGTTAAATATACATACATAAATAACAGTTAAATGAATAACTATTAATAAGATATTAAGAGTTACATAATGCGAAGTTAGGTTTTATTTTATCCAATACGCTGAAATTGAAGTTTTTGTACAATCATGTAAGATTTTAACAGTTTGTTATAGTAGGGAAAATTATGAAACGTATTAAAAGTCGATAATTCGGGCCATGTTAAGTAATATTTCAACTTAGAGCAAAGTGCTGATGCGTTTGCTTCTAAACTAACTTATCAATAAAAATTTTGAAAGGCAGTACAAGAAGTTAAATGGAATTACAATGGACTAAACCAGACATTCTTGGATACGAAGGCCCAATTTCAGACGAGCTATTCGAGTACAGATTGTTGATTAACTGCAAAAAGTCATTTTTATACCCGAGCGCACTTGTGCACAAGGGTCTTTGCGCATTTTCATTTGACCACTCATTACTTCTTTATTTATCCAATTATTTTCTTCATTAGTAACTTGATTTTTTTGTAAGAGAACAGGCTTTAGCACAAGTGAAAAAATTTCACACGGAGCCTGTTATTTTTTAAATTTTCCTCCTGCTAAATTTTTTTTTATTTTTTTATCAAAAAAAAAAATGGAATGATTAATTAATTTTTCAGAAACTATCAGTCCTATCGCTTAGCTTTCATTCGTAGTATTTCATTTTCAGATTGTTAAAATTTTTCGTAAGATATACGTGACGAAGTGGAATCACCTTTTGTTTTAAGCTGAATAACTGTAAATTCAAAATATCTCGAAAACATATCCATAGAATAAAAAATTAGCTCGATTTTCGGAATCAGCGGGCGATTCTACATGGCCAATGGATAGGGGCATCCGTGGAACAAAAACCAAACGCAAATTTGTGATCCAGTTAATCTTTAATATTCAGAAAAAAAGTGATTAAAAATGATTTTCTGTTATTAATAGAGCGTCTTTTTGTAAGAGAATGTTGCTTGATAGTGTTTTGAGATACGTGGTTTCGCCAAAGTACCGTCTATATATAAACTAGCTGCGAGAAAGTGCGGGTTTTCATGTAAAAAGGTTTTAAATTAAAAAATCTTACAATTTTAGACAAAAAAATGGTTAACTTTGATTAAACAATTAAAAAGGAATCTGTGCGAGTAATTCGAGTAATTGCGCATTTGACCAAAACGGTGATTTAATGAAAATTACTGATATCTTCCGATGCTCTAATAGCATCACTTCAACACAATGTAAAAAAAAAAACGGTAAAGGAAGTTGCGGCAGACCTTGAAGATCTTTTGGTATAAATATTTTTAAATCACTTTTTATTGTTTTGCAAAGTCAAATTTAAAAATTAATATTTTTTATTGTCACTTGTAGTTGAAAAAATTTCAAGGTGGGCAAAAAAATATGGAAAGATGTAAAAATTTTGATCAACTTTAATATGAGTAAATATGATTTCTAACCAATTTGTAGCTGATTTTACATGGTAAAATTTAAAACGTAATTAAAAATTGTAATCTGATCAACAATTTTCATTAATTTAACGATAGTCACATGAAACCTTGCAATGCAAAAAAATTACATTTTCGAAGATCTTGAAGTTTGGATAAAAATTGTATCATGTTAAATTATTTTTCGGGTCAGTTTACAGTCTATTTTTTTTATTTATTTTTTACTGCTATAGATAAATCCATAAGTCTCTTCCCATAAAATAATAAGTTTTTTTGATCTAAGAGATTTGGCAACATATATATGTACATATAATTTGTTATATTTTTTATATTTGGGGTAACTTTTGAAGGAAAAATTTTTGTTATCGCTATCAATAGACAGTTTTCTACTTCTGCACAAAAAAAACGAGAAGAAAAATTTAAACCTGTTAAAAGTTATAGATTATTGATCACTCAAACCGAAAAAAAAACACTGTGCGCCGTTAAATTTCGGTTTGTCCGATTGTACTTCATTTCTGAATTTTAAAACAGTTCCCTACAACTTCTTTCCATTTAACATCTCCATTAATGACATGGTCTTTAAACTGTAGCAAAACTTTTAAGCAAATATGCATGCCAATGTCTACATCGAAATATCACTTAAGGACACGTACATATGTACGTTCACTACAAATATCGACTTTTGCTACAACCGGTTCTAGTTAGGTTTGATGATTGATGAATCTCTAATTGTTAGGCCATAGTTACCGGAATCGTGCGTTACTATGAGGCGGAAACTACATCAGTACAAATACAGCAAGCATAAGTACATTAAAAATTTGGTGACTTAAGGGAAACGCACAGTGGCGTAAGAGAGTGCGATTGCCGGGTCTTCGTACTTACTGGATAGCAACCCTGCTTTGAGATGCAGTATAACGTAACGCACATACATACATATGTATTGTTGTTGAAGGTTCAAGTTTCGTTCAAATATGAAAGAATATATTGAAACATATTTTATTTATACATTATTTTTCTTAATACGGCGAACAAAACAGAAATGAAAAAAATTAAAGAAAATTAGAATCAAAACAAAACAGAAAAAGGTGCAGTTAACTTAACTAAAACCGGAACAAACAGAAAAACGCTGCTTTAAAATGCACAGGATGGCATTTTGATTTTTATTTATGTTTTTATATATGCTTATATTTTATTCAAACATATTTAGGGGCTCTGTATTTGTTTTCTTCTTCGTCGCCGGTTTTTTCATGCATGCATTCGTGTCCCGCAAAAATGTTAATCATTTAGCAAAATAACAGTTGCAGCTGACCATCAAAAATTTCGTTTAATCGAGCTAGCTCATTCTTTTCTGGATAAGGAAAATTTTCGTATTGGTAACAATTGGCAAAAATATGTTTTTTGACCTAGTAGGTACTTTTTAAAAAATAAAGTTTTCACTTAGATACGTAGGTAAAAAATACATATATTAGTCAATAAATCAAATAAACAACATAAAGTTTACATCAAAAACAAAAGCAAATGTGTTTATTAATTGCTATTAATTCTATTTTCAAATATCGATACCTAAACATGATAAGGTGCCATGTCCTTCTTTGAAATTGTTCAGGGGGACGAAAAATTGATGTAGTTTCGCATTATCTGACATTCTGCATCAAATACTAAATTTTGAAAAGGGGGTTGGCACCTTTTCACCTTTAAGTAGCGATATGTATGTTTGTTTTCAAAAGGCTTGAAACGATACCCAAAAATTGATTGATCAGTAGCAAGCCATATTTGAAAACAGTTTCCGCCGTTAAGTCGATTGTGGTTATTTGTTTTTATTTTTACTATTTAGCTTGTTGTGTATTGCTGCAGTTTTGAAAATGTCACTTCAATGTTAGTCCTAATAAAATTATGTTTTTATCTCAACATTTTACATATTGGACAATACTTCTAAGCTACTTTAGTTAGTAACTAATCCTTTCTTAAAATTAGCCCGGCCTATGTTTTTACAATAAACCTACGATGTACTACAAATTAAATACTGCATTAGTCAAAAAACACCAGGTTGACAGCCTTCGAGCTGATTTTTTTTCAATAAATGTATTCTTGAATGCTTCATTTGAGCATATGCTTATACATACATATGTATATTCAAAAATGTTAAAAATCAATTTTTCATAGTATTTACATATACATACATATTTTGATTCTTTGTATTTACAATTCCGCCACCAAATTTGTGCGCATATGTATGTGGAAAACTATGCAATGCAACTGTAATATGGGAAATAACTTTTTTCGAGGTTTTTGAAAATAAGGACTCTATAAACTAAACAAAAATTTTAAACGAGTTTACGTATTGCCACGTTTTCCAAAAACTGTTTATCATTTATAATTTTGGTGTACACATTTTTCGCCAAAGCTTAGTTGATAAGTTATTTTCGACACTTTAAATTTTCTTCAAAATAATTTGCACTGCATGTGTATTTATTCGAATGCATTTTCAATTTGCATTTATTTTACGTTCAAAAGTGTTCGTACTACGAGAGTCAAAGTAAAATAAAAGGTTTAAAACAACAAAAACCACGAAGTTCCATATTTTTATCGAAAAAACTAAATACTCTACATTGAATTGAACGAAAGATGGTGCATTTTAAGGAAACGAAATTTAACTAAAACTTTGAAACTCAAATAATTAAACCAATTGACTAATTTCGTTCGGAAATCACAATACGTTTCAAAAATAAAAACATTAAAAGTTTTTTTCAAACACGAATGTAGAAAAGATTTTTGATTTAATTCTCCCTTTAACTGACTCTTTCCATATTTCTTTTGACGTCATTTAACGAAACGACAAATTGAGGTAGCATTAAGATATTCTTTTGTTTTTTAGTCAATCGCACTAGTGTGCGTAATGGTTAGTAAACACAAAAAGGAGTTCAAATTAAAATATATAAATTAAGTCAAAAACTCACATAAACCATAACTATGTATGTGTTCTTTTGTTAGTCTAAGCAAATTAAAAATTTTTTGAGCAGTTTAACAAAATGCTAAATAACAGCAAAATATTTCAAGTTGTAAACTTAAAAATTGGTTAACGAGGCACTTACGTCAAGCGGCTTCTTTAACACTATCCAACCCGACTCAGCCTGTATATCGAAATACTCCAAATCGTTGGGATTGAAGGGGGCGCTCAAGCTGTACACAATGGCTCCGTTATTGTCGGCATCCTCATCGGAGGCGGAGACGCGCAGTATGTTTGTGCCGATGCTGGCGTCTTGCTTCACATTTTCGACATATTTCTGTTACAGAAAAATTAATTTTACAAATTTGCAAATAAATAACTTTCACTCTATTCTCACTTGTCGATCAAAGAGTGGTGGATTGTCGTTGACATCTGTAATTTCTACTGTAAAAGAACACACGCCTTCTAAGCTAGGTTCACCTTGGTCAGTCGCTTTAACGGTGACCGAAACGAATTTACCATCGTCACCTTCGCGATCGAACACTTTGTTGGTGGACACCTCGCCGGTCTCTTCGTCAACGGTGAATTTGGTGCCTTTCTGATTTGGCTGTTGAACGATTGAGTATTTGACCTGCAAGAAGAAGACGAAGTAAACATTACTAGAGTTCATTATTTGATGCGAAAATGCGAAGCAAAAAAAATTAGCGCTTTGTTTTGTACAAAAACCGTGAACGTTATTAAATAATTTTGTCAGGGCAAAATGCTAAATGTCAAATGGCAACAGCAGTTTGCGAAAATTAAATGAAAATATATCATGCCGCAATACGGTGAAACAAGTAAAATTTTATTTATTTTATTTTCTTCTGTCGCACAGTACAGGTTTACGTCGACAGGCTTTGCGGGGGCGGCATGGTCAGCTTCAAAAAGAATCGGCGGCGGCAGCGACGCCGGCGCGTCTGAAAACGCCGGCGCTTCTGCCCATAAGGTAGATTCCATAGTGCCATGAGGCTACTAATCTTATAACTATAATTCAACTTAATTCATTCTGAAATTGATTTTAAATTTAAATATTGTTACTTCCTACCAGCGTTGCCACAGACAAATTTTTTTTCCTACCAAAATTTCCTACCATAACCAACCAAAACCTATCAAACCTTTTTTTGAGTTTTAATACTTGTTTTCAATGTCAATTTTTTTAAAAACATAGTTAACATAACATTTAGTACAACAAAAACACAACTAGATTAATAAAAACAAATTAACTGCGTATAACGATTCACTTTACTGTACAGACTTATCCATATGTACATATGTCTCTTTACACATACATACATACAGTATTTAATTAATATAATTAACAGTTATCTATCTAATAGAGTTTTGTCCTAAAACACGGAAAGAGGGAAAGTAAGCTATAGAGTCTCCAGAGGAGTTCCCCAAGGTTCCGTTCTTGGCCCACTTTTGTGGATCATAGCCTACGATGGCGTATTGCGTCTACCCATTCCAAAAGGAGTTAAAATAATTAGCTATGCCGATGACATCGCTTTGGTGGTTGTGGCTAAAGACATAAATAGGGTGCAAATGGCCACAACAAATGCTTCCAAAATAGTCATCGACTGGCTTACAGCGAGGGAGCTGAACTTAGCAATCGAGA